GCTCGCTCCCGGAACGGGCGAGGGTCCGCCCCCTGTGGGCTCGGCCCGAACTCTGCCTTCCGGTAGATGGTCGCGACCCGGTTCTGGGGAAGCGAAGAGAATCCCCGAGCCCATAGAGACACCAGCTCGGAGGCTGAGCGCTGGCGTTCAGTGCAGCAGCTGCTGTAAGGGGAGCTTTCATTCATCTTTCCGCAGCCGCTGCGGGAGCTGACGCTGCCCCGCCCCGAGTCCAGTGCGGGCCTGGGGGTGCGCGTGATGGGTAACGCTGACACCCCTCAGAGGGCTGGCTCCTGAGCCCAGTGCCAGCCCTGCCGCGGTTTCCCTCGCGGTCCTAAGCAGAGCTGCATGAAGCGGATGCAGTGACCTTTGAACAATATGGTTTCCATCTGGTTCCTTTCGTTCTTGCTTTCTTTTAGCAGGAGACAGCTATTGAAAGTTTCTATTTATGTGTTCGGGGAAGGGATGAGGGTTTGTGATAAGATTCAGTCTGCTGTTTGTTTTTTAAAACAATTGACAAGCGTAAGCCAACAAGTCATTCTCTGCAACATAATAATAATGATCAATAATAATTAAAAACTGAATTAACAATAATAATTGAAAACAATTCAGAGATCCAGCTCTAGGGGAATGGTTCATCATATTACTTACGCGGCCGTTAAAAGTGACTAATTGAAGACCATTAAGATGAATGTGGAAATAGTAGGTGTGCCATGATTGCAACTAAGACTTCTGTACTAAAGAGAATGGACTTCGGAGCCAATTGTATTTTGTTCAAACCCTGACTCTGACATTACAAACCTGGTGACCTTGGGTTTTTTTATCTGTAAAATGAGGACAAGATTACATACCTGTTTTGGAAGATGATGATTAGATGACAAGGTAATGGGATTTTTTTGAGTTAGTATGCTGGGGTTGTGCATAATTTATTTTTACTAATAATTGTCTCTAAATTGTCATCTGCCACCACCACCACCACCACCACCACCACACACACACTCTGCATTCTAAAGTTCTTTGGTTTCTTTCTCCCCTCCCCTCCCCTCCCCTCCCATCCTTCTCCACCTCCCTTCCCTTCCCCTATCTTCTCCCTTCTTCCCCTCCCTTCCTCTCCCCTCTCTTCTCCTCCCCTCCCCTTCCTTCTCCTCCCCTCTCCTCCCCCCCCCTCCCTCTCCCCCCCCC